AATTTAAGATCGCTGAAAAAGAGTTTCGAGCTCTTTAGGGAGCCTGAGAATGACACGGAGGTTACGATTTTCCACGAGGGAGTGGTTGTGGAAGAGTCTGAGCTTTAATTAAGGAAGTCGTCTGACGTTGAGACGTTGATGCGAATGCCCCACCCACCGTTGCGGACGTTTTCCTTCACTCAGAGGCAGGTTTAGGGTTCGCGGTTTTTTCGCGGATTTGGCCGTTTCAGGACGCGCTGAGAGACCGAAGTAATATTAGGGGACGTAGGGGCCGAGTGAGGCTCGTTTCCCTTATTCACCGCGGGGCGCTTACGTTATTTGCCCGAGACGATGGTGAAGCCGTCGTCTTTAGGTTTGGCGAGTCTGTTTGCATAAGTCTCCGTATCGGAGCCCGACTCCGCGTACGAGAACACCGGGTAAGACCCGCAGATGGAAAACGCTGAAGTCATGAGGGACGCGGCGTGTTGCAATGTGTCTATGGACCAAGCCAACCGACCTGTGGCGCCAGACCGACCTATGTCACTGAGCACTGGACCTGCAACCGTTGTGGAGTTCAGGTCCAGTGCTCGGTGACATAGGATCGACGATTTGCTAGAATGTCAGTTAATTGGACTCTAGAGATAGCCGCCATCTTGTAAATATTAACAGAAAAACACTTGTGCACCAAGCTGCCTTTCGGCGGGGAGATGTGTGCCTAAACGAACACTTATATTATTCGATAGAACACTTATATTATCTTATATTATAAGCTCCCAATATAAAAAAGAACAATTCCCTATTATTTTGCTCGAATTCAATCGAATATAACTGTATCGGGAGAGACTAATATCAATAATTTTAATCATATAAATACCGCGCACGTACAATCCCGTATTACTTTAAAATATTAAATAAAAACCATCTTTTTCGTGAATATGAATACTACAAAAAAGATGTGTTTAAAAATATTACATCAAAATATTGCTAGTATATTATCAAAACAAGGTTTATTAGTGTTAACATTGGATGAATTAAATAAGATAGGAAACGCCCCAGATGTTAAATATCTTTCAGAAACTTCCTTGCGTACTGATCATGAAAAATACCTAAATATTAATAATTATGAATTAGCCAGTTAGTTCTTTAGGGATGGGCCTAGAGGCGGTACATGTATTTTAGTGAAGAAAGATATTACATATAAAAAAGTAAATAAAATAAATAGTTTAGCAACACAAAAGATATTTGAAGTTTGTGGTGTTGAGATTTCTCCTTATAACTTGCTAATAATTTGACTCTATAGGATTCCCTCTACAGATGCAATTCTGTTTTTGGACAAGTTAGACGGAATGTTACGTGAAATATTTAAAGTTTATCTTCATGATTTATGTCATTAATATTGTCTTAAAATTCATATTAATGTTCCAACTAGAAAGGAGACATGTATAGACCATATTCTAAGTAATATAGAGAACGCTTCTGCAACAGTGTTGCCTTTGTTTCTATCAGACCATGATACAATTCAGTTATTAAGCTTCCAGGTTCAACAAAAAAAATCAAAAAAACAAGATATTGTTACGAGCTTGAGGTTCGTGACAATAAAAACTGCCTATTGAATTACCAAAATTTACACTTTTATTAGAGAACACCAACTAAAGCTTAAAATACTAATAATTAACCACACTGATACACTTTATTTCGCTCCGAAGCTTCGCTTTTCTCGCCAAATTCAATACAGCCCCGACCATCACAACCATGAAATACTTGTTACCGCTTTCACTCTCCGGAAACGGCCCCGCCACGTCAATGGCTATTCTCTCCCATGGTGCACCAAGATTGTACAACTTCAATGCACCTCTACTACTAGTCTGAGGTCCCTTTACAGCCGCACATCTTGTACATTTGCGACACCAGTCCTCGATATCGTTTCGACAGTGGACCCAGTAAAACCGTTCTCGGATCTTCAGTAGAGTTCGTTTAACTCCTAGATGGCCTCCTGAATAATCATTATAGTACAGCTATAAAACATCCGGTACTTTAGCTTTAGGGACAACTATTTGCAAATGACAGCTGTCTCCTCGACCATTGTCCCATTTTCAGCGCAGGACTCCATCCTGAATCCGCGAGCTGTCCCATTAGGCCCAATAGCTTTTCGTGGTTGAACTCATCGCTGAGACGTCGCACCACTTAGACTTGGTAGCACGGGCCTTCATCCATTCCAGAATCGGCTTGATGTCCGGATCTTCCTGCTGTGCATATCGTAGGCTGTCCTTCCACTCGTTGCTGAGGTGGTCTGTCCTGAGCATCCTCATGGATACCACTTCCTTACTCTCTTGCCTAGTACGATGTTTCCAATCTTCAGGACAAGGTCTTCTTGACAATGCATCTACGTTGCCATGAGATTTCCCGCTGCGAGGTTTGATAGTAAAGTAGTATCCCGGCTGCTGCTGGGCGGTTATGTTAGCCGCACTTCCCTTCCGAGATCGTTCACCTTCCCTTTCTAGGGTTCGCTTAGGGCAGCTGGATCGAAGATGGCCCTTTTCTCCACAACCATAGCACCTAGGACTGTATCCTTTGTTGCGGTCGCGAACTGTAGCTGCTGCAACCTCCCTGACGCGATGGGAACGATGATCCTGCCGCACGGCTTCCACCTCCAGTGCATGGGTCAAGGCGTCTTTAAGCGTCTCGTGGTGCCCGAGACTCACAGCAGCTCTGACTTCGAGGTCGCGGATGCCGTCGATGAATGTCTGCACCAGGTTCCCTTCAATGAGCGCAGATACAGACCGGTATGCTTTTCGCACCAGCTTCTCCACCTCTAGAGCCCACTGCTGCAGGTTTTCGTTGATGCGCTGCACGCGATCTTTAAGCTGCGCGCGAAAGACGTGTTCCAGTTGAGCGTCGCCATATCTCGCCTCCAATGCCTCAAGGAGCTGCTCGTAGGTCACTTTCTTACCGAGAGCTTCCAACACAGTTAAGGCTTGGTCGCGCAAGCTTAGGGTGAGTGCAGTCATGGCCTGGCTTTTATTCCAGCCGTTCGCCTCCATGACGGCCTCGAACTGGATTTTGTAGGCCGACCAGGAAGAAGTCCCGTCGAACGGCGGCACTTTGAATCCACGTAGCGAAGGTGCTGTAGCTACTACGGGAGCTGTAGTTCCATCCCCAATTTTGAGGTCGTTCAGCGTTTTCTTCACGTCAGCCATCACGTTGTCAACCCTATTGTTCACATGGTTGATTCGGGTTTCATGTTCTTCGATTCGGGTTTCAGCTTCCGACAGGCGGTTGTCATGTTGAGCAACCCTATCCTTCACCTCCCTTATCTCTTTCCCAAAGGTAGCGTGAAGGTCCTTCATGAGGAGGATCTGCTCTTCCGACCGACGAGATTGTTCCTCCTGTCGGCGGGCCTGTTCCTCCTGTCCGCTCTGCAGCTTCTCTTTCAAGTGACGGACCTGTTTCTCCTGTCGGCGAGCCTGCTTCTGTAGCATCACCATCAGAGCACCTAAGTCGGGTGCTGCAGATGAAGGAGCTACCGACGGTCCTGCAGCCGGCGGCCCTCCGACGTCTGTGGCGTTGCACCACCAAATCTTCTTTGGTCCGTCTCCTGCTGGCGTTGATTTCGGGTACGGACACCCTCCGTTTCCTCCTTAGGTAAAATCGGCATGATTTTATCCCACTTCTGACACCAATTGTTACGAGCTTGAGGTTCGTGACAATAAAAATTGCCGATAAAATTACCTAAATTAACACTTTAATTTTCTTTACACAAATTAAAACTTAAAACACTAAAACACTAATAATTAATCACACTAATTCACTTTCTTTCGCTCCGAAGCTTCGCTTGTCTCGCCAAATTCAATACTTCCCCGATCGCACCTTGCAGCGCCTATAAATACACATTAGTACCGAATCATCCAGAACATTCAAGTAAATACGCGCACCAATCGACAAAGCGCCGAAAGTTCGAGAGTCAGCTTCCAGAAGCTTTATTCGTTTCGACAACAGATGGCGCTGTCGGTTGAAAGATTAGTGATGTCATTTTCTGGAAAGCTCTCCCCTCGCTCCGTTACCCGACACTAGATGGCGCTAGTGCCAGATGTCAACTTAGCCGCGCAACAATGTTAATACCGTATCCTTTCCAGTCCAGTAGCTTGAAAACGTCTTCCAACGCATATATGTAAGATATTATAAAATATAAAATAAATATTAACATAATATTGAATATTATTGGGTATTCAAAAAGGGAAATGGAATATTCATAAACTGCCAGCACATTACTAAAGAAAATATATTTCATTATGTTTCACGGGTTCATTCTTTGCGATTTATTGTTAACGTATTGTAGTAGCACCTCCGTGTTCTAGGCTTGCACGGATTTTTAAAAGTATTTTATTTGTATATGATATTTATGTGTATATGGTATCCCTACTAATGCTGGCAACACTACCCTTGCCTAGCTCGGGTCACGTGTTCCCATTCGAGTCATTCGGTATCTCCGTGGCTCCGTGCTCAAGGCTTCGCACGTCTCTGTAGACTTATTGTACAAAAGTTGACTAATTTTCGGCAAAAAATGAGAAAAATAAAACAGGAAAAAAGTGAAAACGAAATCAAGAAAAATTTTTAAAACTGCAAGAGCAGTTAAACAAAGTTACCAATACGAGAGAATCTTTGTTTGTGGAGGAACTAAGCGGTAAGTTTTATAATTTAGATTAAATACATTGATGCGTACTGCTAAATTTGGGCTACTACCGTCATTATTGATCTAATTAAAAATATGAAGTTATGATGCGAAATACCGTATTTGGCTTACCTCTGCCAGGAAAAAGTGATGCGTACTGCTAATTTTGGGCTGATACTGTCACATTTTTATTACAAACATTCTAATAAGAACTGTTTGCTGCAGATTCACCGCTGCATCTGCTGAGCACGTGCCACGCTTTATGAGCAGCGTCATGCGCGGAGTCTCGTTTTTTGGATGATGGGGAGGTTCACCTACATATAACCATCCTGTCAGGATGAATGTGTGTGAAATGATGAATGGAAATGGTTCTCCAGGAACTGGTTCTCTACCGCCGACTTTCCCAAAAATCGCCGGTGCCGAGAATAGCATCAGTCACCGCAACCGCAGGTTGACGAAAGACCGATTTCTCCAACACCTGCCAGCTTCTTCTTTCTTCTCATCAACTTCTGCTGGCAGTGCACCTTCACAGCCGATGATGTTAGAGTAGCAACGCGACGAAGACATACTGGTTTTGCTTGGTGATGCACCTAAGACCGAGCCCCCAATGGGTCCAGCAATCCATAAGAATATAGCCAATCGGTGGCAAGACATACTTGCTAAAGGGTTGGCAGAAGACGTAAAAGAAAGTCTCCAACTGTGACCTCCTGATTGCACCAGCTCTAAACCTCGGGGGTTAAAGCAGCCCTGACAAAGACCCCTATAAAACGAGACTCGTCACTTTTGTTCAAACGAAAGCAACTAGCCGTCGTCATTGCAGCCCTAGGTGCTGTCGTCAATATGATCATTTCGGACGAAACTGGCAAACAAAAACTTTTAAAACCTTTAAGCGACGCCTGTCGCATTCTTTGCTATAGTCATTTTTATAGAATCAAGAACACGTAGAGGTTTCATAATTTTGTCTATTAATACTTACCCGCTCTAATTTCAGTACCACCAGCAATACTGGCCATTTAAAACTCCTTAAACCAACATCGCAAGGTAGACAACAAATTGCAGCCGCAAATTTACAACACAAGGCGAGAGCAGCGGCCAACGCCGCGCCCGCGGTAGGCACCGCAGCAGGCAGCCAGCACTTCACGCCGCCCGCCGTTAATCAAGCGGACGATGTCTCGCCGGACATAGACAAGGTACCAATTTCGCGACAACTTCAGTACTTTGCCCATAAATGGCTAAAATAACTTCAGACAAAACTATTTCATCTTGGGTGAAAGGTTATTAAATAGCATTTAAAAGTAAGCCATATCGTATTAGTGATCCTAATGTTTACCCCAAAAACATCCCACGAAGCCCATCATTTTAACAATTCAATTAAAATCCTTCTAGATATTGGTGCAATATCCCACCGCACACATAAAAAAGCGAATCCATATCCAGTGTATTTTAAGTGCCAAAACCAAACGAAGAAAATAGATTTATATTGAAACTTAAATACTTAAATAAGTTCGTAGAAACGGGACATTTTATGATGGAGGATTACTGAACAGCATCAAAATTGATAACCAAAAACTGTTATATGGCTTCCATAGATTTAAAAGACGCCTATTTTCTTGTACCCATACATAAATCTCATAAAAAATACCTTCGCTTTAAATATAATGATGCGCTTTTTGAATTCAATTGCCTACCGTTCGGTTTATGCACAGCACCATATTATGTTTTTACTAAATTAATGAAATCAGTAATAGAATTTCTTATAATTAATGGAATGATATCTTGTATACCCTGATGATATATTTTGCATTGAATGTTCGCTCTTGGCTTTAGTAATTGAGTGCACCATTGTCACGTGTTACCTTAATATCATCTCACAGGATATTGACATATTTGCATGTAGTGAGACGAAATTCATAATTGCAGCATACAAATGCGTTGAAAATTAGTATTTTATTTTACCATCAATTTGATAGATTTCATACTAGATATCATTATTTATTAAGCAAGTAACATTTTTAGAAATATTAAAGTAAAAAAAAAACTTATTAGTAAGTAATCAGATTAGAAACTCTAAAACCCCATTTATAGCAACCAAAAATTTTTTTCATTACTTATCATAATATCCATGCCTATGTATACACCTATACGTCCCTCAAGCAACCAACGGGTTTTTAGTTACATACTGAATGTATTAGGTTTCGATTGAAGGATTTTGTGATTGAATATATATTTATTGATTAATAAATAAATAATACAAAATTAGATCCTATGTATGCTTTTTGGTTTTAGTGATGGCAACTTAATTAATTAATAATCATTTATATTAAAATTATTCTCTTACATTATTACTTAATTATTTATTATTTAGCGACACTAGTGACAGTGATGATGATGATAATAAAAATGCAATTATTAATTACCAATTATATATTGTGATAATGACTAGTAATATACTAGTCATTAGGGTGAATGCCCATATTACCAGCCTTTTAGTGCCTATTTCAACTCTAAGAATTCCTGCTAATTTAAGTAGCGCACAATAATTTTAAACATTAGTATTAATCGATAAGCTGTTTATCAAAAAATATAATGAACATTTATTTACAATCATATTATTACGAGAACAATTTTGAAAACGAAATTAAAAAAATGACGTTACGGCTCAAATTCCAGCCGCCCGGCACGGAATGTAGTCCTTTTGTGTACCTAATGCCAGTATAGTATAGTTTTAGAGGCACAGTAATAAACTCGTAACAATTTTTAATTTTGAATCAAGCATGTCACAAGCCTGAAATACGTGATAATGCAGACAACAATTATTTTATTTTAATGTTTTACTACTTACCTAACTGTGTTTTAGTTTTAAGCAGTTCGATCTTTCTTTTAAAACTAAACAATTAATTAAAGAAACGTTTGGAAAAAAATGAAGCACATCGATTTCTTATAATTTTATCGTGCAAGTTTTCGAATCATCATCATTACAGCCCTCCACAAGTCCACTACTGAACATCCTCCTCCACAGACTGCCGAAAAGCATTGTCCTGAGCCACTTTCCTTGTCATGAGTTTTTCATTTACATTTTAAGTTAGAATTAGTATTACTAAGTCAGAGTTAATTATATTTATTGCTTGTTTTTGTCTTTCCCAAAAAAATAATTGAATTACCAAATAAATTATAAGGTGTTCTTATATACATCGAATGTCTGATAAAAAAGCAAGTACATCTTTTGATAAACTTTAAAATCAAAAACCAATTGTAAAACATAGACGAATCGATGATAACTCCTTTAAAAATATTTTCTAATTAGTGTTATTTATTCCAGTTTATGATTCATGTAAGGGATAAATAAAGCTAAATAAATAAATAAAATTCCATTTATGACAGCCCTGATTTATATGAACTTTTGATTCTTAATCGAGAATAGACGTAGGTGTCAATAATGTAACCCACATTGTCCATTTATCATGAAGCGAACTGTGTGTTCTTGAGTCACTTTTACTTTAATACTAAATTAGACGTAGGTATAGAAAGTACAATAGGGGGTTTTATCGCTTTGAACCTTTTTTTCTAGGCAAATTTTACGTAATAAATAAAGACGAGAGCCTTTTTTTCTAGGCATATTACACACCTTGAATTAATATATTAAAATGATTCAAGTATTTCAAATGAAATTTTACAGCTGTAATAGAATTGAATTAATAGGTATATTAAAATGATTCAAGTATTCCAAATGATAATTTTACAGCTGTAATAGAAAATTATTTCCCTACCAGAGTATGTTTGTTTACTTTAACGTATAATAATAATTATAATAAAATAGTTAAACACTCTTATCAGGTGAATCAATTGAACCAATGAATGAAAACAGTACGTACAAATACTTGGGTTTTAAACAGTACAGACAAATTCAACAAAATATAACAAAACTAGAACTGCTCAAATAATTCTCACATCGCCTCAACCTTATCTTAAAAACCAACCTAAACTCTATAAATACTATTAAAACCATCAACACATTTGCTATACCTATTCTCACATACTCTTTCGGAACTAAACGATGGTCAAAAACTGACATCAAAAACTACAGCGCACACTCAATACAATCCTCACTAAAAACAGAAAATATCATCCAAAATCATGCATACAGAGACTCACACTACCACGTCAAGAAGGGGGATGAGTATTGATAGACATACACAATTTACACAACAAACAAATACTTTCGCTTAGAGCGTACTTCCATAACAAAGCAGAATATTCATCACTACACAAACACATAACGGAAACAGACATAAACCTAACAACGCTTAACTTACAGAACAGAAATACTCAAATTAATAACACATTATCGGAACACAACAAAAGATCGCAGCATGGTATGAAAAAGCCCTACATGGAAGCCATCGCGCCTATCTGAGCCACGTCGATAAAATTAAGTAGAACGAATGGCTCAATCAAGGCGAACTCTTCCCCGAGACCGAAGGTTTTATGCTTGCCATACGGGATCAAATAGTACCAAGTCGTAAATACATAAAACACATCATAAAAGACCCCAATCAAACCACTGACATATGTAGACATTGCAACAATGCCTCTGAAACCATACAGCATATTACAGGAGCATGTAAACCACTTACACAAAAGGATTATAAACATCGTCATGACCAAGTCGCTGCAATCATACACCAATACTTAGCATACAAATACAAATTCTTAAATAAGATGCAGCCATATTATAAATATAAACTTGAAACAATATTAGAAAGTAAAAATCTGAAAATCTTTTGGGACCGAACAATAACAACGGATAAAACTATTCATTACAACAGACCTGACATTATCGTTAACGACAAAGCCAATAAAACAGTTTACCTGATAGATATAGCAATACCAAACTCACATAACATACAAACTACAATAGCCGAAAATATCAAGTAAATATCAAGTACTTGCCATAGAAATAAAAAAAAAACACTGAAAAGCACAAAATGTTCACATCGTCCCGATAGTTCTCTCATCCACCATTATACTAAAGTCACTCACACAAAACCTTAACACTCAACACATGCCTACTCATAAACTTCACATGCTCCAAAAAGCCACCATCCTCAACACTTGTCACATCACCCAAAAGTTTCCTACTTCCTCTACTTTATTATCTACTTTTACAATTGAAATTTCCCTCGTTAGCTCCGGCCCGTGTGTGTGGTGTTTTAATCTAAATAAATAGATGATTTATTTAGAATATTGCTGGTTGCCTTGTTGTCGTAAGCGTAAGCGCAGCTGGTGATCACGTGGTCCCGGGTTCTCGAATCCTTTCTTTGATAGGTTCCATATTCTGTCAAATATTTCTTAGAAGAACTCCGGAATCAGGAAGTTGGTGGCGTTTCCCCGCTATGCTAGGGCTCTCCAGTGCTAGCTCCTTCCATTTGATCCCATCCAGCCCAGAGCTGTTCGAATCGTCGGCGAAAGAGCTCTTTCCGATCGGCTTGATTCTCTAGCACTGCGAAGAGATGTTGAATCTCTTTGCGTATTTTATCTATACATCGCAACTACCACGGGGAGTGCTCTGAGGAATTGTTCGGACTAATTTCAGCCGCACAATTTCACCATCGCACATCGCGACAAAACTCGAGATACCATCTATGCCATCTGGATGACTGGCGGTCCTGCACCGTGCGAATTAAAAGAAGTTTTCTTCCTCCCACAACTTCCTTGTGGAATCGACTACCACCAGAGATTTTTCCGGACCGATACGACGTAGGGACCTTCAAGAAAAGAGCCTATTCCATTTTAAAAGCCGGCAACGCATCTACAATTCCCCGGGTGTTGCAGTTGTTCATGGGTCGTGGTAGTCACTTACCATCAGGTGAGCCGTATGCTCTCCTATAAAAAAGGTGTATATGGACCACAGCATACATTTACCGCACATAGGTCTGCCGTCAAATAACAGGGCTTGCACTGATGTATTTCCGGTCTTAAAGATATTGAGTGCCACTATAATAACAGGCTGTGTACATTCCATTATACAAAGCACCTGTAATCTTCATTGTTGGAAGATGGTTACAGGTGTCTATTGGTTGCAGCAGCTACAGACTGCCATGAACTACTGCAGGAGACTGTAAGATTGTTTGTAACTTCAGTTTTAGAAAAGAAAAAAAATTGGAACAATATGGTAGCTTCTACTGACAATATTCCCAAACGGTTTTATAATTTGAGTATAAATCAAATGCTTTTTAGGGTTCCGTAGTCAACTAGGAACCCTTATAGTTTCACCATGTCTGTCTGTCTGTCTGTCCGTCCTCGCTTAATCTATGTGACCGTTAGTACTAGAAAGCTGAAATTTGGTACCAATATGTGTATCAATCACGCCGACAAAGTGGTAAAATAAAAATTGGAAAAAAATGTTTTATTAGGGTAGCCCCCATATGTAAAGTGGGAAGTGATTTTTTTTTAATTTCAACCCTAACGTGTGATATATTGTTGGAAAGGTATTTAAAAATGAATAGGGGTTTACTAAAATCATTTTTTGATAATGTCAATAATTTCGGAAATAATCGCTCCAAAAGTAAAAAACAATGTGTCCCCCCCCCCTCTAACTTTTGAACCATAAGTTTAGAAAATATGAAAAACTCTTTGAAAAGTAGGACTTTATAAGGACTTTCTAGGAAAATCATTTTGAACTTGGATGGAAACAACAGTACCCACTACCGGGAGCAGTTGCAGGAGCGCGGAGCGCTGCTGGAGCGCGAACATAATGGATACCCACCTTTAAACTCATAAGTGGGAACACTTATTGTGACGGACGGGAAACTACGGAACCCTACACTGAGCGTGGCCTGACACGCTCTTGGCCGGTATTTTTAAATATTTTTCAAAGGTCTCTTTCAAATACTACAACTCAAAATAATAAAAAGTATTATTTTGAACCAAATGCTATGTCACAAATAAAATGATTTATCGCAACTGTGTGAACCAATCCTTACAATAGTATGGGTATTTAGATAAGTAAATTTTATATAAACATATATTATAATACAGATCTAGATTGTACGGAAGAAGAAGACGATGATCATAAGAATGCTGTTCTTGGCTGTAGTTGCTTGGGCTTCAACAGAGAAGTCATGTTACTGGAACGCTTTTTGTCCATACCCAATGTACTCGAGCAAGACCCCGTATGATACAGTCAGAGGAGATATCAGAGACTATCCGAGTCCAGAGGGTAAGATTTATGTTGTTTAGCAAGTCGTCAATATAAGAACTGCATGGAAGACGTCAAATCTTCGACACAGCAAACGTCGTAGTCTTCCATACAGTTCCTATCTCATTTCACAGATGGTTATAAAATGCATGAAGCATTTTATAATCATCTGAGTAATGAGCGGAGGCCTATGTCCAAGAGTGGGACGTATATAGGCTGTAGCTTTATTGTATAACCACAGAATAAATAATAGTACTACGTATTATAACAGTCTTAGAATATTGCTTTATTTGTAATCACATTAATAAGTCAATAAATATGGGAAGAAACTGTCAAATTAAAAAAAAAACGGTCTGAAATTGTTTACAATTTAAGGCGGCTGTGGTCTCAGACACTCGGTATACTTCTGCATAATACTACATTTACGTTATATAAAACTGATTGTACAGATTGTATCGCGTTTAATTTGATTTAAATTTTACAACACATGTCTAATTGTAATTTATATTTAGAGTAAGATACGTTTTGACTAAATTAAGTTTAATAAAACGCAATAAAATCCGTTATGTTAGTGTTACCTATTCAATTAATAAGTATAATGATAATTCGGACTCCTTCCTACTTCTATTTCAAAACATAAATTTAAAATTCAGATTGAGCCTCCTAACTTCGTGTTAGTTAGTTAGTTTTAAGTAAATATTTTAGTAAATATGGGGGAGGAAATGATACTTAAGGCATATTTCTCCCGTTTTTATAGAATTAATGTAAGTAAACGAGCACATCTCATCTATTATATGATAAGTGAACACTTTGGTCCATAGGGTATACACTTGAATCCTTGACTGAGAATGCTCCTCCGTCTAAACCACTTTCATCCATAGACTTACCGCACGTCTTATTAGACGGTAACTTTATCTAGTTAGGGCCGTCCTACGTCGCTAGCCGATACAAGGCACACTCAAGAAACTTTTTTCCCCATCGGTTGTCAATTCTTCGTTAAGGTCATTGTTATTTAAGCTTACTGATCCATTGGGCTATGTCAGTTACTATAGTTCTGTTGATTTAGGTTGTCAGGCGATAAGTGTTTGGTCACTGCACAGGCACGGGAACCGCAATCCTAGCTCCAGAGTCACAGCCGACATCAAAGCAGTCGCTCGCTTAAAGGATAAGATCATTCAGAGCTTTGAGAGTGGCAGAAGTCAAATGTGCTCGCAGGTAACTATTATATTCGGCCGTTAACAACTAGCTGTTAACTAATGGACACTGGACTGGGCTTCCCAAGAATATGACACTTTTTCATAAACATAAATTTAGTAACCTTGTAGTGGTGGTGTTAGAACATCCACCACCCCATACCGTCTATGCCGTATAGATACTTTATACCGTATAGAGTAAAATTAAAACAGAAGATGGTTAGTATATTTCTGATAATAACAATTCAACGTAATAACAAACTGCAGTCGCCAACTCGCCTGCCAAGCATGGCAACTATGGCTAAATACCCCCCCCCCCCCCTCATGAGATATCATACACAAGATAGCCCTCTCCACAGCTCGGTCATTAACTTTGAGCTTCCTCATACGGTCAACAGTTAAGTTCAAGTTTTGAAGATACACACGATGTGTGCATAGAGGTATTGTATAGATATTATATGTATATATACATGTAGAGGCATTCAAATACGAAAAATAATTTAGTCAACAAAAGTTTACTGCTAAACATAGCCCTCCGCCACAATTTCCTCGTAGAGGGGATTTAGCAATCGTGGCAGGTGCTTTGGTAATCGTAATTATTTGCTGGTTCAGTTTTCCTCAGTCACATCTTACGACACCCACAAGATTTTTAATTTTTACATTTTTTTGATGATGTGTTTTTATAAGCCGTCAAAACCCAGCTTTCTTTTTTGGAATAAAGTTGACAAACGAGCGTAGTAACAAGTACACCTGATGGTAAGTAGATACTGTGACTCGTAGGTCATCTATCCTCGATTAGAATCAAAATGCTGATTAGTTGTCACCCCTGACGATTTAAATGAAATGCCTCGTTTCAAAACATTCAAAACATCGAAACACAGTTGCCTTTAACTGCTTTTTTACTCTGATATTCTGTAAGAGGGTGATCAAGCAAGGCTCTACCTCTTACGAATAGTATATTTTATTCATTTCAGGACATTGAAGAATTTAAAAAATGGAAGTGGAACGAAACTCTTGAAGAATCACAATCGTTCCTTACTGGGACAGGTTATGAAGAACTCTTTGACATAGGGAAGCGTCTTAGGAAAAAATATCCTCACCTGTTGCAAGGATCTGATGACAAATACTACTTTAGGAGCACCAACGAACAGCGTAACGTTGTCAGCGGAATGGCGTTTGTCCATGGTCTTGCGGAAGGGACCGATTTGAATCTCACTGTTGATGGACCTTGGGAAAGAGATGACATCATTCGTGTAAGTTTAGTGTTAGATGTACTCATAAAGCAGTAAGCTTAGTGCATCTGAACATATCCGGTCACAATGCTACAGGTTCTAATTTTAATTAAGAATAATAAGTTTTTACAAGAATAGTCTCAGTAGCTGTTTTAAAAATAATACAATTAGTAACTTAATGTGCATTTGACAGTGATAGTAGTTTAATCAGCCCCAAATTTTTCTTAATTAATTAATATAACATGTCCTGCAATCAAGACAGAATATATTAATTAATTTCAAATCTTTTTTAAATTATTTTATGAACCTTTGAATCTTTCCAGTGTCGGGCCCGTTGGAAGAAATTTCAATATGAAATGAGTAGTGCATTTAATCAAAATATACTCGTATCTTCAGTTTTAATTGTAAAATTACTTTGTGTGCACATAAATTGTTAATAAATAAATAAATAACATTCCAGCCGTATCAAAACTGCGACAGATATCAAGTGGAAGTGAAAGGTGGCCAGAAACTGGAGGATGAACTGGACGCATACTTCCGCATAGTTGAGTTCCAGATGGTGAGTCGGCTTGCCAAATGATATCACTTCCATCAATCATCACCGTCATAAGAAACCGTTTCGTATATAAGCGTTCGCTGTTAAATCACATCTCGCGAGCAATCCAGGTGCGATTTTTTATGGAAGATGCGTAAACGAGCATGTGGCTAGTCTGATGGTAAGAGTCGACCGCCGCCCATGATAAAATGCGACACCAGGCGAATCGCAGTTTCGTTGCCGGCTTTTAAAAACAGTAGGCTCTTTTCTTGAAGGTCATATCGCTAGTGGTAGTCGATTCCACAAAGAAGATGTGCGAGTAAATCGCACGTGGTGGACTACCAATTATCCAGAACGCTACCATCAGTACCATAGGTACAATCGATTCTTGCCGGTACCAATGATATTGTTAATTGCAATTTTAAGTACTGATTTACCACGTGCTCGGTGGTGAAAGAAAACATCGTGAGAAAAACTGCATGTTTCAGAAATAAAATATTACAAGGACATTTTATTTTATTTTATTTAAAACTTCATATACACACGTGGTATTTAGGCGGACTTAATGCCTAAGGCATTCTCTACCAGATCATACGCCTTATATTACTTCGATAATATACTAGTCTGTAGGTGGGGCCTGGTGACCTGTCACACAGGAAATCCTAGTTTAGACACCACCACACAGTTTTTACAACACCGCATAGACAATACCACATAGTTTCTAACAAATTGATTACAGCGTATTAAAATTATGTTGCATGTTGTGTTTATATCTTAATATTTGAAGGAGAAGAATAAATTTTGTTATTACTTTCTATTACTTATTGTTATTATTTTTATTCCCAACACGCATTGCAGCAGTGCGAAATAAAGCCGGTTTTAAATTAAAATAACAAGTTTAAAATCAAAATTCACTATTTCAAAATTCGTGTGAATAGTATGGTCTAGAGTCTAGACTTGCGCTAATTTCCCTGAAAGATACTCTTAAAACTTCGTAATACACAATTTTATATTTAAACAAAATTAAAATAGTAAAAAAACAGCTTTTATACCTCACGTTGATGAGCAATAGCCTCCCTTCATTTTTAAGAAGGTAATGGCGTGGTCGGTATACAAAGACAATCTTTTATACCTTTTGAGAAATAAGCTGAGGCAGGTGCTCAGCAGTGTGAGATATAAAAGCTTTATTTATTTATTTATTTGAATATTTTCCATAGTTAATACGTGGTAGAGCCATGCTGCAGCTAAATTATGGTTTTATCATGAATGGTTGCTTTGACCAGGTTAGGACCACCCTCTCACAGAATACCAGTATAATATATAAGTTTAATGCTGCTATATTTCGTATGGTGAGTGTAGAAATCCGGATACTCTTTTTAATGAGGTATTCCATCTGAATCCTCAGGGGTAACAACGCATCGGAATTAAGATTCCTAATCGAGAATAAATGTAGATGTCTATGGGCCACAATATCCACTTATCATCAGGTGGACAAAGAAACAATGGGGAACTGCTGCTCCACCTCCTGTTTCTTTTCCCTCTGTCTCCTCTTGCGACACTCACGTGATAATATGAAGTAGTGGACGTGGAGAAAGTTAAGTTCTATAATATCGTAATATAATAAAGTAAAGTAAGGTTACAACCTAAGTCTTTACAAACAGTCTTCTGAACTCTGACTAGCCATATTCGCCTATTGAAATACCCACGTAACTTATTACGTTACTCTTTAGATATTGTACTTCTTTGACAACATTTTGCCAAAATATCCAGTCAGTAGTCGTTAATACTTATCAGTTAATAGCTAATAGTTAATATTCAGTATTTAAAAGAAAAACTGCCCTCTTTTAAATTGCAATTGCCCCACGAGGCGTCACTTGAATATATGATACAAATTAAAATCTTCTTCCAAATACAGGTTAAGAATAATGTCCAGAAGCGCCTAGGCATAGACACACAGTTGTCGCCTAAAGGCGTATACTCGTTATATGAGATCTGTCGCTTCTACCGCTCCTGGACTCCCACGAAGCAGTCACCTTGGTGCTCCGTCTTTTCACACCAAGATCTTGTTGTACTAGAGTACAGGGATTACGTACGTCATTACCATCTTAATGGGTACGGTTCTTGGGTAAGTTTTATTCTATATATTAATGCGGGGGGAGAAAACTTTGTACCTCTTTCAAAGCATATTGCGCGCCCGGAGAAGTATGAGATTTGCTGTGATTAAAGTTTATACGGAGAAGGAGAGCAGAAAAAAATTATACATAATATGTGTTACAAGTACATCAAATATGTTATACAATGTTAACGTTCATACTGCTAATATCTAATACATAAATTTTGTAAACAAAATGAAAAATAAAACTTTAAAAAGTTTATTAAAAGATAAAGTTGTATTTTGTTTTAAAAAAAGGGATTTTCATGCACTTCGCTTACTTCAAAATGGCTCCCAAAAAAGCACGTTTTTAAATATGGAAACCCGGCGATAAAATGCACTTAGACTGACTTATCAGTCTTTACGTGCATTTTACACTAATACTCTCTAAAGAAAATGGTAAAAATATATATCGTCACCTCAGAGACGCTCTATTGTTTAATTTGCTAATAAATTTTCGTTTTTAATTGTAGGTTAATGTACACCTAGGCGGCCCTGTGGTGAAGGATCTGTATGAAAACTTCGAGGCTGCAGTCAATGGCAGTGGCAGGAACGTAGTCTCTTATTTCACACACGACACTGTGATGGAAATGACTTTTTGCGCTTTGGGTTTGTTTAAAGACGACGCTCCAATCAGAGCGAGTGAGAGGAATCCTGATAGACTTTGGAAGACCAGATTTATAGCGTCTTTCTCCTCAAATTTAATCGCTGTTTTAAATAGGTAATTAAAATATTTTTTATTTTTAAATAATTATTGGTTTAAATTTATCTTATTAATGAACTTCTTCAAGATGAAGTTGATTATCATTATAAAGGCTATCCTCGTAGATTCGCATTATGTGCAGCGTATTTAGATATTAACTATAACAAGCCTATGTAGATTGTGTCGTCTAGACTACGGTGGCTAGTCTCAACGGACACCAGCCATCTGCGCAGGACAGGGTTATAGTGCACGAGTGTGTGCGCAGACACAGGTGCACTATTTATTTCCTCACTCTCCTGTTCCGATGGTACGGAAATCCAACAAAACCGGAGAGGAACCAAAGGCTTTGCATTCTTTCCGTGACAAGGGAGTGAACACCGCCAACTTCATGACTCTGTGCTGCTACCGAGAATTTCTAGACAAACTCTTCTACATTTTGGCCTGACCTGGGATTTGAACCCGGGATATCATGTCAGCAGTCGATGGTAAACGCGATTAACTATCATTACCACTAAACCAACGACGCATTCAAGACAAACGATTGCCTCATTAAGGGGATATTGCCATACTTGTAACGCCTTGCCTATGGCGACAGTGTTTTTTTTTAATTTACTTAAATTGTTATCGGGAAGATGCTGCTGCCCATCTCCTGTTTCAGATCAATTTGTCGACTCTTACGTCTTATACTGTTCCTTTCTTCTTCTTCTCCGTCGTGTTAAATTCTACTACTGGACATGACCTCTCTTTTTGAAGGGAGGATTTGCCTTGACTGTCACTTTTGACGCTACCGTTTTGACGTTTAACGTAAACAAGATGGCTATACCGCAATATATCGGAAGATACGAGATTTTTCTTTTCATTGCATAAAATCGTCTCATACGATACCCGCCAGACGACATGGGGTTCTCTTATCCCACCAATAACGGCAATCTCTTTTGTTTAAGTATCATTTACTTAAGACGAATCCCTGACCAAAATGTTGCGAAAGTGCGTTTTTCAGACTCTATTATCTCATTAGTTATGAAAAATAAACTACATCTAAAAGTACATTATTAATGTTCGATATCTTATCATCGCATTCCACGTTCTAATTTATTTTTACGTGCTATAAATACATTTAAAATCAACTTTTAAAAAATGACTAAAATTCTTGATTACATGCATCTGTTAATCTGTCTAAACGCAACGCTCTAATCATTTGAGGATAACACTAATGGATAGATAATTAAAAAATCTATATTCTCCACGTTTTATTTAAATTTTTAAGTTCGTTTTTTCTCTTTTAATTGAAATAATTCCGAAAATTGTGTGACTTCTATGATAAAGGGGCGTGCGCAGAGTGCGGGCGGCATTACGCTGTATGCGTTCATACGAGGTGGCCGCATCGCTGGTGGCTGCGTCCGTATTTCGCCGCAAACATAATATTATTTGAGTACCTACCAACCGATGCGCTTACGTCACGGTATATTGTAACTCGGCCGTATCTTAGAAATATATCTTACAGCCGTGCGGTACGTAAACATGCGATAGGGATGCCTGCCTCCAGCATTTTTACATTTGCTCATTGATTTATGTGTTTTATAACTCAATGCATTTTCCTACTTTGTGTTTCCATTTAGTTTTATGATTGTACTTAAATATACTTTTTATGTAAACAAATATATAATAGGTACTTTGTGAATTGAATAGGAAGTGTTCAATGAAAATGCGTGTCGTTTTATGATTGGTAGATTTAATTAAAAAACCATGTTTATGTTTGGAATAACAAATCGGTCTTATAAATTTGCGGCCGAAAAATATTTGCGCCTCGGCTGAGACGTACGAAATGCTTTATTATTAAAATTTTAAATATAAAAAATCCGCATTATAATATAAAGCTTAATTAAAAATTGTTTTGGGAAACATGGACAAGTGGAGTAAAGGAATATCTTTTACTTGGTTATAGATACCGCAGCTTCTTTACAATTTATATGTTTGGTTTTAAATGAAGTTTGGATTTATTATTTTTTATTTCTATTCTATTTTCTGAAAGGGTCCTAGGAAAGGAATTATCACTGCGTGTTGGCGAACTTTGCATGTCTTCGAAATATTTTTTTTCTTATTTCTCAAACATGCAGGTTTCCTCACAATGTTTTCCTTCACCACTGAGCACGTGGTAAATCAACACTTAAAATTGCAATTACAATATTATTGGTGCCGGCGGGGATCGAACCCGGTTTGCTCGCACACTGTGAAAATTTTAGCAAGCGCTAACCATCTGAGCTACCACGGCTCATCTCCTCTCGAGCTAGAGACTTTATTTTACTTATCATCAGGCCTGTTGGTCTGGTGGTTAGTGACCCTGACTGCTATGCTGCAGGTCGTGGGTTCGATTCCCACCCAGGGCAAATGTTTGTGTGATGAGCACGATCATTTGTTCTGTGTCTGGGTGTAATTTATCTATAATATTTATGTATTTAGAAATATATAAGTATGTTTATCAGTTTTCTAGTACCCATAACACAAGCTCTGCTTAGCTTGGGACTAGATGGCGTTGTGTGATAGTTGTGGAATATTATTATTATTATATTATTATTGTTGGGGTATCTGTATAGTTTTCTCATCTGGTTGGCTTTTATAAATATAAATTAAAATGAAAAGATAAATATACATAAATATCAATAAAATAAAATAAATACAAAAAATATACAAATAAATAAAGATCCAACCATATTAAATAAAAAATAGTCTCCTATCTTTCTCTCTATGTTTTGATCTCCTAAAACGAGTTTGAGTTGGTAAAATCAAGGCACACTTAGGGTAGGGTTGTCAATTATTATTTTGATAATAAAACTAGTGAAATTCCGCGGTTTTATATGCGCAAGCGTGAACGTAGTTTGAACATAATATAACCTTTATGTATTACATAAATATCCTAAAAAACTTATTATTTTAATATTTTACTAAGTACCTATAAAATTAACAAGTTTATTGCATTTTTATTTGAGTAATTTTTTATGCAATTTCTTTATCTACGTCTATTTTTAGGAATCTTTATTTAGTCTGAATCATACATAACACTATATTACTGATTTACTTACTTATACGTAGTTTTCTTTTTTTGCAGTTACAAATATCTTGTGAGGTTGAAAAAGGCAGTAATGAAAAAATAATAAGAATAATAATAATTGACGTCAGCCACCTCTTTTCATAAAAATTCCAGATCAAGGTCCATTATGTTGCAGCTTCACCAAACCACAACTTATAATAATAATAAAAATAATAACAGTAATAATATAATATTATTTTGTGTTTATTTTATTTTATTGATATTTATGTATATTTATCTTTTCATTTTAATTTATAATTTTTATATATTTAAATATTTATATAACCGAACCAGATGAGAAAATTATACGGCTCCAACGATTTTAGCGACGAACGCTTGGATTTATTTTTAGAAAATGTTCTTTTGTCCATGTTTTCCGGCAATAAAAAAAACTGCTACAATATAAGAAGGTAAATTTCGACAAATCACTAACGGTCGTTATAGCTCAGGTGGTATGTCGGTCGGGCGTGATATCGGAGTTCCGTGGTTCGCGTCTTGGCTTTGGTCCCGCTTTTTTTTCCTTTTTTTTTCAAGTTCCCTTCTTTTGTGAGAAAATCTATTATTTCAAACCCTTTTTTTTAATTTTAAAAATTTTAATTTTTAAAAATTAAAAAAAAATATATCTATTTAGTTACAAATGCTATATTTATTATTTTAATAATTACCTACCCAGTTGGTAAATATTAAAATAATAAATGTAGCATTATAAACAGTAAATCTCCCTCAAACTCAATTTACTAATATTGTTGCTAAATAAGGAATAGCAGATAAAATATTAGTAGGTAATAACTATTGCTCCTCAAAATTATATTTGACCTCAAGGTAAAACATATCCTAAAATTCAGTAGCTAAATAAAATAATAATACCTGCTATTCAAGTATATTTTCAATATGTAAGTAAATGAAAATAACAAAAATGAAGCACCATTAGCATGTAAAGTTCGAATCCATAATTAATATTTCGACAAATATTATAATTTACACTATAAAAAGCTAATTCAATATTAGCAGTATAGTATATAGTTAAAAATAATCAAAATAGTAATTTTTATTAATTAGATAATATATTAGAATACATAATTCTAATATAATGCAACTAATATAAAGAATAAAGAAAATTAAAATACATTTATCATTGTACGCCGTGTCTATTTCCACAGAATAGTTCATTGACATCGAAAAAATAATACTACGTTCGTAGCAGTAGGTGGCGTCTTTTGGCGATTTCTTACGCGATGTATTGTAGCGAGCTTCGACAGACCAAACGCTCAAGGTCGTTCGCTGGAGGTAGCGCCTTAAGCTAAATTACATTAACAAATAAATAAACGGCGTCGTTTCTGTTGTAAGAATTTTTTTTAATAGAATGAAGGTGACTAACGAGCTCACAGTCCACCTATATGACATATATGGTAAGTGAATGTTGTGGCCCATAAACGCGTACATCTATCCAATGTAAAAATACAGATGCATTGTCACCCCTATAACTGTATATAAAATACCTTCTTATCAGTAAAAAAGTTACTCCGATTCTCTGCATTCACCATACGAAACACATCAGGATTTAAAGGTGCTATTTTACGGTATTATTCTATGTGAACGCGGTCTTTCCTCGGTCGTACCAACCCATTCATGCTACAGTAATAATAGTTGCACTGTGACTCTATAACTATCGTTTTGAGCCGGAAACTAACGTATAAGAAATATTTAATATAATTTTCTACACAAAACGAGGAAACAAACTAAAAGGTGATAAAATTGTCGAGAAATTCTTATCTTGCAAATAAGATAAACGTGTACTTAGGCCGATGTTTAAAGACACCTCGTGTTTAGGCTAAAAAAGGAAATGAAATGCAGGTCAAGATCGCTTAGCGAGCAGGCTATGCTTGGTGTTTTTCTGCGTGAATTCGTAATGAAGATATCCGCAGTAAAACAGAGTAACCGACATAGTGCAAAGGATCAAATAAGCTGGAGTTGTAAAAGAGTGACCATATTGATAAAAGAACCTATGGGAACAATAGTTCTATAAAAGAGGGGACATACCAGAATACGGCTTACCTGATGATAAGTAGCGACCAGCGCTCACGAACAACTGCAACATTAAAGAAATTGCAAGGAGGCTACAATTCTATACTAAAGACTATTTTTATGTTTCCAGTTGTCAAGAATCAGGATCTCAAACGTACCGTGTTCAGTTCTTTATAAACGAACGAGAAACGGAGTTGTGTCCCATTACTGGATGCACTTGGAAGCAGTTCCAGGATAACTTCCACAGGTTCACAAAAACTAATTTGGATTATTGCAGTATAAACAACACTGCTGTTTTTTAGCCGGAAACTAACTCGGCTATTCGTGATAAAGTGATAACAATTGGGTTAATCGCAATGAAGACATTCTTTTATTTATTAAAATAGCCCGCGAATGAATAGATTTTTATATTTTTTTCGTATAAAATAAAATTAATTAATTAAAAAGCGTTATACTGTGTTTATTTGGTACGCTGTAGCTTTATTGACATCTTTTTTTTTATAGAATAAGATTGACAAACGAGCACACAGTCCATCTAATGGTAAGTGGATGCTGTGATCCATACGAGATATATTTATCAGTCTTTGAGAAAGAATTTAAATGCTATTGATGCGTTGTCACCCCTGAAGACTAAGATTTAATGCCTCGTTTCTAGTCAAAAGAGGTTCCTGTTCCCTGCACTGACTGTTAGAAGCACAAAGCTTATATTATATATCCTATTTTTACTGTCTGTCCTCAAAACGAATTTTTGACATCAACAGCAACGATAAGTTGTTAGTTAATTTTTTTTATTTGTTATATATTTACCATAGCCAAACGCTTGGCCGTTTACCCAGCTGAACCATTTTGAATGAGGGTCTGGTTTCCTACGGCGTGACTCTATCGCGTTTTATAATTTTCAATCATCTCAATAGCTCAATGCCATTATTTAATTACATAGGTTGTGGATGTTGAGTGCCACATCATTGATATAAATGAACAATATCCAAGGCGAGTCCATGATGAAGTAATGTTTAACAACTCCGAGCCTACGTCAGAAAAAATAAAAATATGATAAAATAAATGTCTGAATAATATAATTGTTCTATACTACATTTAAGGTATAATGATATTTTTAAGAGCAGAAAACGTTATTTTATTTGTTTATTGAAAAACAAACACTTTAAGCTGTCAAAATCACGAGCAAAGATAAAAAATAATGACTTTGTGACTTAGAGTAGACATCATGATGTATTTTGTAATTTTCTTATAATGGAGATAATTACGGGGGATAAGTTTGTCTCCTATTTTATCTACTGTGATTATTATATCCACCATAGGCCCACGCACGCAGGGTGCATAAAACTCTGGCAAAGATAATTTTATCTCTCGTCAGTGGATATAAACGGGGGATAAAATTTTTGTTTCCTGCCCATGCTAGCCCGGCAGGTGTAAACAATTTTTATTATCATTTCGTGTAGTCATACAATTATAATTATAAAGAATTTAGAAAACCATATTCTAAATTATTTAAATTATTATAACTGCTAGAGATTACCTCTATTGTCTCTTTTCTTTCCTAATTTAAATTAGTTGGAACTGATTCCAAATTGCATGTCAAATTATTATGCTGCGCAATAGGAGCAGATGTTTGGGTTATACCTATCTATAGTATTTTTTCAAACGAAATTAATAATACTATTAAATTATTTCTGTTATAAGTGTTACAATTAAATGTAATTTTTAAATTATTGTTACATTGCATTTATTAATAAATTTAAATCGTATTGTTGCGCGTCACAGTTGATGGCACTAGCGCCATCTGGTATCAAGTATCAGAAATAGGAGTGTCAATATCTTTCTAGAACTCTCCCTACAGCGCCATCTAGTATCGAATAGAAGATAAGCTTTCTAGAAAAGCCCACACTCAAACTTTCTGCATCTGGTCGGTATTGGTCGGTATTTGCTGGAATATTCTGGATGTTTTAGTGGAAAAGTCCTATTTAAAGACATTGAGCGCCGCGACCGAAGAGCAGTATTGAATTGGCGATACGAGCGAAGTTTTCGGAGTAAAATAAAGAGCAACAAAAAGTTAAATTTGATTAATTATTAGTGTGATTTAAGTTTTAATTGGTGTTTAGTAATTAAAGAGTCAATTTTGGTAATTCAATCGGCAGTTTTTATTGTCACGAACCCTAAGCTCGTAACAGTATCTTATTTTATTTTCCAGTGGCCAACTCTGTATGTAAGGCAATGTAAACAATATAATTTTATGTACCTACATTTAAAGTATTTAGATAATCAAAATATTTTAATAATTGATTTTTGTTTACATTGCCTCTTCTCCGAACAAGAACTATTAATGTGCTATTAGGTCAAAACTTACTAGCTAAAACTTTATTCATTATATTACTAAACTATAAGATATATTTTACTTTTGCCTATCACTAGGGATATCTTATTATTAAGTTACCGATACAGGTATTAAGTTACGGTAATTATAAAATATCTGCTATCACAATTTTATTATTTCGTAAAGCCATGCTCAAGTTCCCCTAACCGCATATTGCACTGCCATTTAATTTAAAATTTTATTTTTATTCTTGTTTACTTCGTGTATTGGCATTTACAATAAAGTAGATATTTTATTTTCTATTCTTTTCTGTTTAATACTAGACACTACAGTCCATTCTATTTTGATCTAAGTCATTAACTTGAAAAAAAAAATACTTTGTAATTTATAACCTATTAAGCCTATCAATAACTGTCATGTGACATTAACGTCGTATTTTCTAAAACACGACATTGCTGAGTCTCGTGTAATTCTTGTTTAGAACATCCACTACCCTATATCTTCCCCTGGGTGTCGTAAGAGGCGACAGAGAAAGACTGGCAGGAGATGGGCAGCAGCGTCTTCTTGCTAACAGCAAGTATACAATAAAAAACTGCGGTTGCCAACCCGCTCGGAGAGCGTGGCAATTATGTCAAATATTCCCCATGAGCAACGACACAAATAACAGACCCCAGTCCCCAGTGGCCGTGTTATTCCTGGCTACGGTATGTCCATGGTAACGGCGGGGCAGGAGGTGCTAAGAATCCCCGGTGAGGGTTCGGTTGCCACCTAAGATGACTCAATCTGGCAACATATAACGCACGCACCCTGAGGATTGACGAGAAAATCCTAAAGCTGGAAGAAGAGGTAGACAGGTGGCGCTGGCATATTATGGGGTTACGAGTATCCGAGGTCTGAAGAGAGGGGGAGGACGAAGAAATCCTCGAATCCGGCAACTTGTTATATCACCGGGAGGGCGTCTGTCCCAAGGAGGTGTTGGATTTATCGTCTACAAGCCTCTCGTCAACTACTTTGTAAAGATTACGAGTGTGTCGACGAGGCTTGAGCACCTGATACTCAGAATCACCAAACGGTATTCGCTGAAGGTCATACAGGCTTACGCACCAACATCGACACATCCCAACGAGGAGGTGAAGGAAACGTATAAAGATATCTCTAGAGCCATGCATTCCTCCAAAGCACAAGAAAAAGCGGTGAGCTGAAGGTAGGGAAATTTGGAATAGGCAACGGATTCCAAGAGGCCAGCAGCTGGCTGAATTCATAGAGAAAAAGGGACTCTTTACGAAGATCTCTCTTCCAGAAGCGGCCCCACAGAAAGTGGACCTGATCGAAAGTAGACCGACGGTTCGACACAAAATAAGATTGGCTTCATTATGACGACCAGACGCCAACTGCTCAGTGATGTCTCAGTGATCGTGAGGGTGAAAACTGGCAGCGATCACCGAATGATTAGAGACATACTGAACCTAAACGTTAAGTTGGAGAGGTCTTGTCTAATGAAGTCAACACTCCGTCCCGCTCATGTGCTAATCCAGGGTCCCGAATACTTTCAGCTCTAACTACAAAACCGTTTTCAGTGCCTAGAAGACTGAAATACAGTGTACGATATAAATAACAAGCTAGTGGATGCTGTCCATGCGGTCGGAGCTATGTTCTGCAAGACCCGCCGCAGAAGATTACAAAAACTCCCCGATTACGCTCTTAATCTCATGGCTGTTAGACAGGAAATGAAGCTGCAGACTTCAGCATAATTGACATACAGGCAACCGAATAGATAGTTCTCCAAAAACATGCGGCGGAACGTACGCAACTTCAATACAGCTCGTACTGAAGAAGCGATTGAGCGGAACCAGGGCTCTAAAGTCTTTGCCAGAGATCTGTCTACCAGAAAGAGCCAACTGTTGAAGCTGAAGACCTAGTGTGCCAGCATCGTTTCCGGGACACCTGAGATTTTGAGTGAGATTAAGAGGTTCTTACAGGGCAGCTGTACACGTCATCGGTAGAGTCACACGCAAGTGTGAGTAACGATCGAAGAGCAAGTCTTATCCAACGATTTTCCGACGATATCCCGGACGTCAGTCAGCCAGAATGGCTCTCCAGCACCTTAAAAACGGTAAGTCCCCGGGCGAGGATCGATTTACAGCGGAGCTTCTGAAAGCGGGTAGAAAACCGATACTTGAAATCCTTCAGAAGCTCTTTAATTCTGTCCTCCGTGGTGGCATTATTCCCGAGGCGTGGAGTGTGGCAACAAGGTGACAACGCTCTCTTGAAGAACTACAGACCGATTTCCTTTCTGAGCTGCGTCTACGTGCTGTTTTCGAGAATCATTACGAATCGTCTCGTACGCAAATTCGACGACTTCCAGCCTCCCGTATAAGCCGGTTTCTGAAAAGGCTTCAGTACCATAGACCAGATACATACCCTTCTGCAAATCTACAAAAGACAAAAGAGTACAATCTGATACTCTGCCTGGTGTATGTGGACTATGAGAAAGCCTTTTATTCCGTCAAAATTTTGGCGTTGCTACAGTCTCTGCAGCGATGCCAAGTTGACTGTCGGTATATCGAAGTGCTGAAGTGTTTGTACAGTAAGGCTACGATGGCTACACGAGTATAGAACCAGAGTACGAAACCTATCCAACTGCAGAAAGGTGTAAGACAGTGTGATGTTATATCCCCGAAACTCTTCACCGCTGCATTGGAAGTCGTTTTCAAGCCACTGGACTGGAAAGGATGCGGTATTTACATCAATGGCGATTACATCACTCACAATCGATTTGCCGACGATATAGAGCGTATGGCAGAATTGCTGGATGATCTAAGCACTATGCTCAATGACCTCAATATTGCCTCCCAACGGATAGGTCTTAAGATGAACATGGATAACACAAAGATCATGTGTAACGTCCATGTCACCTCTATGCCGATAGTTGTTGGGAGCACTAAGTTCGAAGTTGTTGACGAGTTTGTT